ACAAAATTAAAACTTATTAAATAAATATTAATTAAAAATTATGATAAAAAAATTAAAAAGATAAATTTATCAATAAAATTAAAAAATTTCAATCCATTAACGATTTAATACAAAAACTACCTAAATTAGTTTTTTCAAATCTGCTAGTGGTTTAGACCCTAATCATTATCCGTTAATCCCAAGTTGCTAAATAAAATTTTTTTCAAATATTTGTTTGTAACGGTTTTGAAATATATAAATTTATCAAATACCAAATATACAAAAATTTTTACAACATTAGCAAGTTCGATCATTTAGGAGCAAGATATCAAAATAAATGTGGACCAAAAAAACTGCATAGACAGTATGTTTTTTTTTTTTTTGACAAAGGTAATGATTAGGGTCGATCATTTAGGAGCAAGATATCAAAATAAATGTGGACCAAAAAACTACATAAACAAAAAAACTGCATAGTTAGTAGAGTTAGTTGTTAACAACTAGGATTTCCCAGAATAGTGAACATTCCACCCCCTCGTATGAGGCGCGCGACCATTAGGTCGCAAGTTTGTGGAGTTCATGGCGGTGGCAGAACTCGAAACCCTGACTTCCGCCTCACCCAAGTCCTGACATCCGCCTCACCCAAAGCTTGACCTCCGCTTTATCCAAACCTTAAGGCTTGGGAGCCAACCATTGGCCCTCAGGCCCGGTTGGCCATAAACAGTATGTTAAATCATACCCCATAGAGGCAGATCATCTGAGCTTTCAGCGTGGCAGTGGCCATGAAACATGACATCAGCAAAAAATAAGGAAAGATAAAGAGTAAGCACTTTGAGAAAGCTAGCCATATAGACAACCTAAAACAACAATCATTTAAACTCTGCATCAAACAAGATGCAGAGGAATCTAGACATACCTACAAAGAATTCAAACCAATAACTGTTCTCTATTGCATCTTTGAACTGCTTAACCTTTGCATCGTCTAGTTCCAGCTGACAAATGGCACTTTTTTCCACATTCTCGGGGGAAAGAAAAGGGAAGGGCAAACTTATGAAACCACAATTATTAATGAACCATAATATATAATATATTTAAGAATATAATCAAGTGAAATACTTCGGAACTTTATGTGGATCTGGCTATCAATAAGTTCATTTCCACCAAGGACTTCACCAAGACCACCCCATTTATGAGCAGGATTCCCTGATGGATGGCAAAAGGGGAGGCTGTAGTAGTTATATGTTTCTTGTGGATTATTGTAAGGGCCAACCTTATTTACCCAAAGAGTAACTGGATCATCCTGTTGGTACTGCAAAAGAAAGTAGAAAGGGCATCAGTGAAAAGAAATGTACACGTAAACATCTAATTATGTTGGCACAACTTACATAGAATAGGAAAAGCAACATAGAAGTATTAAAAAAATCCCCTGCAGATTCAGTGCTACGTACTCCAAACAAGAAATGAAAAATTTTGATACTTTCGAGAAAAGTATTAAGTTATATTTTGCATTTAAGAGAAATCAAGCTAAGAATCTACAATAACTATGAAGACTATTGAGCTTATTAGATTTAGATGGAAAAGATTTGAATCGGAATTTCAACATTATTTTCTGTTTTTGTGCATCTTGGCTTGTAATCAAGATGCAATAACATCTAGTATCCCTTTTAAGTAAATCTCTCTTTTGACAGCTGGATGGTTCGTTTTTACAGTTCTACCATGCTCTAAGCCTTCTTTTAGTAATTCTTCGCAGCATATGACATATAATCAGCCTAAATAGATTCTTCTATAAATTAGTGTTAAAATTGGTGAAACAATACAACACAATATGCCATCAAATGGTAAAAGCTCTAAAGAACTTGTTTTTCTAAATGCCAGAACTAAAAGCCAACAATGCTTAACAATCTAACTTGCGCCAGTGGTAACTATCCCGTCCTTAGTAACTGTAATACATACATCATCACTGTATAAAAATGGCACATGCTAGGTGCTTATGCAAATGTAGATACCACACATCATACATTCACACTTTTTTGGACAATTGAGATGAATTTAGTTGTATCTGTGAAATACTAAAAGAAAGAAAATCCACCAAGAGATTAAGTCCTAAATCTATCATATGTTTGTACTCAAATGTACAAAAAAGAAAACCTTCTAAAATAACAAGTTTGCATCAGTCGAAAAGGAAAACAAGCATCTAGATAAAGGGAAAAAAAAATACAGAGATCACACTCAAATCCAGCTGCAAACGACACGCAAACAATAAGATCTACAACGCCACTGTTAGGGTTAGGATTCAGTGCGAAGGAGAGTGATAGAGTACCTTATGATCTGACTCGGAAGCTAGCGCGGGAGAGAGAAGGATGAAAATGAAGGCGAAGAGAGAGAAGAATTGGACGGAGGATGGCATGGCGGTGGGCAGCGACGGTCGGATCTGAAAGAAACGTGACTGTGTCGTCACTCCTTTCCTCTTTAACGCTTACTGAGATTTGGAATTTCGTCGTTTTCAAAAAAGGGAGGGAAGAGAGAGTTGCTGGTAATCTAATTGCTACATGCAGCAGCAGCAGCTCCAGCCTGGTTCTAGATTTTGCAACTACGTCAGCGCGCTCTTGAATAATCCCGTGTCCTCCGGAAAATGACGACGACGACGATGATTTTAAGTGGCACTTTTATGGTCCATCTGCCCAGCCCAAGAAAGTGGGCTCATGGCATGGGCCACTTAAAATTCCTCATAGCAAGCCTCATGGATCTAACTTTGACGAACTGGAAAGAAAGTCAGCTATTTGCAGTTTGTTTTTGCATTTCGAAAACAGGCATTAGCATTTAGCAGTTGATGGCATTAATAAGAATTTAATTAAATTAATATTTATTAAATTAAAAATTTTAATTTGGAGTTAAAATTAGAGGTTAAATTTTTGTATTGATAAATAACTAATTCTTTGATGTATAAAGAAAACTAATACATATAAACAATAAGTATTATCAGTCATTAAATATAATTATTATTTATTAATCATATCTAAACATTTAATTTAAACACCTTAACAATGTTTTAACAAATCACTATATAAGTTTATGATAACACTTATATGTAACCATAATTATAAGTTTTTTATCTTTTAATACTTTAAAGGTGTATAAAATATATTTTAATTAATATTTTATATCCTTCTAAAGTAATAAAAAAGTATAGAAATTAAAAAATAAAGCTCTGAAAAGTATTGTGACGATGAAGCCATGGTCTATATAAGCATGGTCACAAACTCACAAACCCATTACGCCAAGTCGCCAACCTTCTTAGCGGCTTTAACTCGCTGATGGTTATTGAAGGATGGGTTTTCACTTTTTCAAAATAGTTATTAGTGGTGGATTTTACTTAAATAAATTAAGTATTTTAAATTATAAATAATAATAATTATTAATTATTAAATATTTATTGTCAATTATCAACTATCAACCATTTAAAAAAATATAATCAAACAGCCTAAGAAACGGGACGGAAGCATTGTCCATGTTGAATAACAGTCAAATATCATTCCAACGTCCATAGACGACTTGAGTCACTTGATGTACTGTTTTGTTCATTACTTCATTACATTTCCAAATGAGATAGAACATTATCAAAGATTTCGACTCACGCAAACACGCATGGCATGATTTCCAATTTTTACACGTTATTATATAAATAATATAAATTTATTTATATATATAACGTTTGAATTCTAATATGCTAAAAAGTGTTAATTATTAAAACAACATGTGACATCGTTTGAAAATGTTCCGCACAAGTTATCCCCTTAGCCCAGCCACAACTCAAATAGGGGTGGCAATTTTTCCCAATGTAGTTTGTACCGTACTGTATCGGTTGATATGGTCGGTATATATTGGTTTTGGAGATTAACCGAAACGGAATAAGTTAAAATTTTATTTTTGTCAAATTTCAGTGTACCGGCCAAAATTTTGGGTACCGACTGGTACACTAGAATTTGACCAGTACATTATGCAAGAAGGAAAAAAAAAAAAAAGATTCCCCAGCTGAGAAGGCCGTCGGAGGAGAAAGAAAGTCGCCGGATCTGCATCGAATAGAACAAGAAATAGCAAACAAACAGAATCCCCAGTCGAGAAGGCCGCCGGAGGAGAAAGAAAGCCGTCGGATCTGCACCGAACAGAACAAGAAACAGCAAATAAACAGAATCCCCAGCCAAGAAGGCCGTCGGAGGAGAAAAAAAGCCACCGGATCTGCACAAAAAACAAGAAACAAACAAAGAACCAACATATAAACAAGCAAGCAAGCAAGCAAACAAACAAACCAAAAAAACCCATAAAAAACAAAAAACAAAGCCACTAGAGGGGCTATAGAACCGACAGGCCACGAAGGCCATCGGAGCTCGAAGCACATAGTCGGCTCCACTGTGCTTGAGCGGCCAAAGGCCCGGCGACTCAAGCAGCAAAACACGGAAGCCTGAGGACTTCCGATCAAAACCGCAGGGGCCAGGAGAGAAAAAGAGAGAGAAATAAGTTGATACCCTGACTTCTCTTTTTTGAACAAAAGGTGAGGGGCATGGGGGAACAAACAAAAATTACTAAGAGGGTTTTATTTTTTTAAGTGAAATATTCTTAATATTTATTGAGAATTTGTTTAACTACCCTT